TGTATGTATGTGCGAATATGTGTGTGAGTATGTGTGTGTGAGAGAGAGAGATAAAATGTGTGTGGGTGGGTGTATGTGTGTGTATGTGTGTGTGTGTGTGTGTGTGTGTATCTGTGTGTATGTGTGTGTGTATCTGTGTGTATGTGTGTGTGTATGTGTGTGTGAGTGTGTGTGTCACATGTGTGTGTGAGATGTGTGTGTACAAATATATTGTGGGTGTGGGTGAGACCGCTCACGTACAGTGTGCTTGTGCTTGAGATTACAGTAACACAAACCGTAGTAAACATGAGTTCTTGGGTGTTTAACAACAAATTCATAGGTACAAACACTATCATATAGTGGATATGAATATATGTGTGCGTGGGTCGGCTTGTTTTATAGAATAGAATGTATATGTTGTCGTATACTCCTACATACAGGTATACGCGTTCCATAGCTAATAGCAGAGTGAACTAGCTTCGACCTCAACACTTTCCATAGAAACAACCAGGCACTTCAGCACGCAATTCACCCTGCCTGTACCAACTAGGCTTTTGCCCACCTAATCCATACACATACACATACGCACACACATATACTATTATCACACTCATATGTCACAAGTGTATACTACAATCAACGCAATCAAGCAGGTTGCGTGCTGCATCGGAGCACAGGAACACTGAGCCTTCCCCTCACCTGTAGTTGATGAGTTTCTTATTCTCCAAATTGAGGAAATCGGTACAGATCGAGTCCAGGAAATCTTGATCGTGACTCACTACCAGCAACATTTTCTTCCACTTCTGTAGGTAGCTGTCCAGCCACAGCACGGCATTTAAGTCCAGATGATTGGTCGGTTCGTCCAGCAGGAGTAGATCTGGTTCTATAAATAGCGCCTGGGCTAAGGAGATACGCATACGCCACCCTCCAGAGAACGACTTGATAGGGCGCGTCTGCGCGGTGTCGTCGAACCCCAAACCGTACAAGATTCGTCTAACCTGTAAGTAACAGTTCACCATTAAGCAATTAAGTAACATGTCACTATGAGGTTTTAGCATTCATCAATAGAAACTCGAAGCAGCTTGTAAGGGTGTGGAGGCAAGGAGGCAAGTGCACGTGTTGGTGTACGCACACACGGAAAAAAAAGTGACCTTGATA